AGCTCAGTTTTTCATAAACGTTATCAATGCTTCTGCTTCGAGCAAGTGCTTTTGAGAGATATTCGCTATGCCTGATATCTTTGCGAACTCGTCGATCCAATAGCTTGAGAGCAGTTCGAATTTTCTCGTTGTGAACCTATCCTATTTGACACAGACGCGTTTTGATCAGTTCTACCTTGAACCAAGCATTACCAAGCGTGTCAAAACTACAAGATTAGACCAATAAGCGAGGGCTTTTAGCTTCTGAAACAATTGAGCAAGTGAGACTACCCGGTGGTCAGTGCGTGTAGAATGCTCACGCGTCTCAATTTCACAGCGGGACAAAAGAAGTCACCCACATGGGTGAAGTGTAGTGTTAGCGTTGCATTCATCCATGCCATTTGTGCATGAGTTAATGTGATTTATCGAGCAAGTTTGGGAAACTCTCGAGCCTGACGAATTTCAGTCACTGAAACTAATAAGCAGGATATATAGGGGGGGGGGGGCAAAAAAAAGTCACTTACCTCCACATTCAAAACGGATTAAATACACGTTGCAAACCAAACCAAATGAGCTCTGAATATTAAAGAGCACATTCTAATCTATCAAAAAGTTACATAACAGCCTTACACCGACGACATCAGAAGATTTTCCCACGGAAACATGGTTCACGGTACGAGCTCAACGAGGTCGTCGAGGTACCATAGACCATTACGACGTCCCTGAAACGCTGGTCAAAAGCGGTTTGCATAGTCACAGCTAGTGTCTCTAAGAAGCTATTCACCAGTTAATCCGATTGAAGAAATTATGTAGCAGCTTCAGGCCGGAGCGATTACGGTAAGCCTCGTTGAGCTCGACGGTGACGGCAGATGACGTCATATTCTGAAGACGGTGGGGGCAGTGAAGGGCCTGCTTCTGCTTATGGGGGACACCTAAGGAATATTCTGCCGTAAAACATTCATCAACAACGGCATCCTGTGCGACGAAAAATTTGATGATGTGCGCCATGGGCAAAGTGACTTTTTTGCCCCCCCCCCTCTTAGTGTACCATGAAATTCCGAACGCTTTTGGGTCTTTGGGAACAACGAACTTGTCGAGTTATCAGAAGGCATACAAAGCAGAAAATTTTCTACCACTGAAAAAAAACATGTCGGGTATTGAAGCTTTATTTACTATTGTGCGAGAATGCTAAAATTCTAGGGGAGGCGAACACTTGAATTGTTAAGTTTTTCTTTGTGCTTTCATTAGATTCCCATCAAAGATGTGCTGATAATCATCATAACTATTCAATTATCTCCCTTATCACAATAATTATTTAATTATCTGATTAAGGTATGAAAGGCAAAAGTCAACAAATAACGAAAACCAGAGCACCGAGAAGAGCGCTCCACCTTTACAGGTATGAGTTTCGTATTTGTTTCACTTCACGCATTTCTCTCAGATTCGCATATGTCTCATGGGTTGTGAGAAAACGTCTGGTTATTCTTGAAGACGCCAGCAGTTTCAGACGCCTCGTGATTCCAATCCTCCATCAGGAGACGTAAATGCTTCAAATACCGAAACCGACGGTTCACGAAGTTACATGGCTATGCGGCCGCAAGCTGAACAACTTGGATATCATTCCGCTGTGCCTTCGCAACATCCAGGTGTTGGTGCTGGACCTGTACCCAGTGCTCCCCCACCAATGATTCATCCACCTACTCCTCAGTTCTTCTACTTGGATCCAACCAAGCAAGAGCGCGGTCCTTTCGAGAAGGTCGGTTTTTCATCTTGTTTGTGTCTTTATGGTTAGATGTTATATCTAAATTTCAGCTTCAAATGGACAGCTGGTATAAACGTGGTTATTTCACGGAAGGATTGGAAGTTAGGCGTCATACTGAGACAAAGTACAGAACGTTAGGTAAAATTGTGATCTGCTTCTCCAGAATTCTGGGCATATTTGTAAATTCTCATTTGTAGCAATCTACAGATCTTTTCATTTGTAGCAAATCTAAAATTTAGGCGAATTGATGCAGTTGAATGGACGAATGACACCGTTCGACTATAAAGATGATGTAGCTTCTCACCCACCGGTGACAATGTTTTCGAATCCATCCCAACCGTACCCACCCCTCTTCGCGTATGTGTTCGTTTCAACATTTTTCGGAAAAATATATGAAAATATTATTCCAGAAGTGGAGGAATGTGGAGCGACCTAGGCGCCCCTGCAAATATGATGTACAGTCAAGCGGGCTATGATCCTATTGCTGCCGAAAGAAAGGTTACACTGCTTAGTAAATGATTCATTCGTTCGCATTTCTTACGTTGCCTTTACAGCGAATCGAGGAAGAGCAACGACGGATACTAGAGGAACAAGCCAAAATGAGAGAATACCAGGAACATCTTGTGCGGGAATTACAGAAGCAGAGGGAAGAACATGAGAAACAGTTAATGGAGCAAAAACTTGCGCTTCTCAAGCATCAGGTTAGTTTTCACCCTTTTTCGATTTGTCCGTTTTCTTTCTTAGATAATGATGGCATTCTGTAAATAGGCTGGGGATATTTCTCATAATCTACGGTCAGTAGACAGTTTGGTTTCGGAATTTTATGAGCAGAGCGGAACTACGTAATAGTGCAGATATTTGTTGCTGGGTGTCCCACAGTATCTTGGCAAAATTTGCGTCAGGCTGATCGATGCTGGGCGGGGGTTGTATGTTAGGCTGGCGTCAGATTCCGCGATAAGTCTCGCTATTCGCGCGAATCGCGGGCGGATCACAAATCACCATGCCCCGATCAACACAGCGAGCTACTTTCCAATTCCGAAGCCATTTCTGCTTGATGATGATGGTCGGGTGACGGCTGCTCATTATTCTACTTGTTTCATATTCAGTGTTCAAAGACGAATTGTGCACTCTGACACCAGCCTTAGTGTTTTTGCTTGGTTAATTGGTACATGACTTCCCTCTGACAGAAATGCTTATTACTATATCGGCTCGACTCCGCAGAATTTTGTGTAGATCAAATGGGATTCAAAAGCTACTCCTCAATCTGAATGAAAGTAGACTGCATATTACATCACAGAAATGGTTTGGTCACCGGTGAATGTTCATTTGTAGGATGGAAAGAGTACGAGTTAGCCATGTGACTTGATGAGCCTTGTAAATACAGTAAGAAGGAGACAAGTTCCATTATCGTTTAAGCCTTCCTACACTAACCCCCTGTTTAAGGAGGAAATTGAACGACGAGAACGTGAGCTGAAAGAGTCAGCTGAAGAAACGAAAGCCCGACTAGAGATGGAAAGGCTTGCGCTTGCTGAGAAGGCTCGCCAGATTGAAGAGGAACGATTGGCCAAAATCGAGGTATTTTTAAGTCCTCATGATATTCTCGAGATTCTATGAAGTCGAGTCGAGTTTTGTATAACCATTGGTCGTATGGTTTGCATAGAATTTTTGTTTCTTAAACTTCCCTTTTCGATCGCATTTTATTGAAGGAAGAAGTTAGAAAAGCTGAAGAAAAACGAGCCGAGGAAGCAGAGCGGAAACGTTTGGAAGAGGAACTTGAGAGACAGCGGATAGCAGAAAAAGAACAACTAAAGAAACAACAGGAGGCAGAGCGAGAAAGGTTTTTTTGTTTCCTAATCCTCAAGCAAGATATGAGTGGCTCTCGTTGGGCGACCCCTTTAATAGGAGCAGAACAAACGGTCTCTGAGTAATTTTTTAATTTTTATTGAATTTTTTTAGGCGTGCCAAAGAAGCTGCTGAAGAGGAAGCTCGGCGTGCCCGTGCAGCTGCAGAAGCTGCTGCGGCTGCTGAGAAAGCACGTATTCAACAACAAGCAGAAGCACAGCGAAAACAGGTCCCATGATTTGGCCGCTTTTCTTTTGAATTGTTTGTTTTTCTTTCTTCACAACAACCTTGGGAGTTAGATGTCTGGGATCTTTGCGCGCTGATTCTAAGCTTAGAAATGAAGTCAGAAAAGTACTTTTAACATTGGCGGCGGCTGGGCAAGACTAGCAGCGGGAAAGATTGCTCATATGGTCTCTCACCTGGCTTAAGTTGCGTAAGGCAATGGATATGTCCGATAAAAATTCTCCCAAAAGCTGTGCATCACGCCCATATGCAATGGTGATTTTGGCAGTGGATTACAAATGAATCTCCATATATTAGAGGGTGTATTATGCACAGTCCATACTTCGGCTTCTGAGTAGGCGTGTTTAGACAGTTGAAGTTGCGGCCTCCGCATTCGGTAGAAGTCGCTTTCCAGAGAAGTACTTGCATACATCTCACCACGCGACGGCGCTACTCATGCCAGAAAATCGCCTTACTCGAGGAGCGCGAATAGTTTGTACACAGTCGATATCCGAAAGTTGGGGTAGGTGTGTCACCGGAAGTGACGTGCACTTGATAGAAGTTGCGTGGATAAGCTGTTGCCAGCATGCTTTGCTGATATCCAGCGATGTATGTTGGAAGCAGCTTATCCACATAGTTTCTATCAAGTGCACGTCACTTCCGGTGACACGCCCACCCCAACTCACCGATATCGAGTATAACTTCAAAGAGTTCCAATACTGTAGTAATCATGTAGTGGGCATTTGGTTAGAGGCAAGGCACCAATTCAAGGGACTGGGACCTGTTTATCGTGTGTTGGTCTTCGGAGGAGGAATTCTTAACATGCTCTGAATTATTGTTTCTTTCAAGAAAGCCGCTGAGGAAGCCCGTAAGAACGCTGCAGCGCAGGCCGAAAAGGAAAAGCGTCAGGAATCTGCGAAAAGTTTCGAGATTGAAGAAGTTTGGCAGGTTCGTCAAATGATTTCTGTTCGATATTGGTTGCATTGACATTGTTGGATTTCTGCCAAATTTGAAGATTCACAAACTGCCAGCTTTCGCGCTTAAATTTATTTCAGTTTCGATATGGTTCCATTATTACCTGATTTCAGGCAGCGCCAAAGCCTTCTCAAGCAGGTGCGGATGGTGGAAGCGCAACAAAGAAGTCCAGCACAACGAAAGGTTTCAGAAATAGCTATGACTATCCCATTGCATTTTCGCTACTATTTTGGCAGTGTTTACATTTTCGCAGACTTTGTGAATAGTGTTCAATCAAGATTTTGGCATCTGCTCAGGTTGTGAAATTCGGAAAATGCTACTCGAGTATTTTGGCTCGCGCCTCAAAATTTGTGCATTTAGTCCTAGATCGGATTATTTACTCCTTTTTACACAATTATGATTACTTTGGTTTACAGTCTCAATTTGCAGTTGCGCCGTGGGTAGCAGCATCAGCCGTACTCCCAGCAAAAGAAAAGACTTTGAAGGAGATACAGGAAGAAGAAGAGCGGCAGTTGCGCGCAGAACAAGCACAACAAGCTCGCCTGAGAAAAGAAGTTTGTAGACTCTTTCTCCGTAGTATGAGTGACCTTCCATGTCTGAATAACTTCATTACTGTAGCAGGAGACGATTAACCTCCAAGCGAGTGCAACTTGGTCCAATGCATCGCAACGTCTTCAGTGGAGCCAACCAGCCCAGCAAAGCCCTGCCGCTAAAACGGCAGCTGTCGTCAAGCCAGCTTGGGGTGGAGCCGGTGTTGAACCACAAAAAGTTTGTTCTTTGAAATTTTGCATTCGCTTCTGTTTCTTCTTCCTTTTCTAATGTTAGTCTTACACCGTAGCAGTTTCCGCTGAGAAAATCATATCGTGTCTATATACTCCCAATTTTTCCTAAAAATATTATACAATGTCCTGTCAGATACCCCGGCTAGAATGGTGTATTTGTAATTCTCGTAGGAGAGGGGAGATCGTATTTGGCGAAGTTGACGTTGTATTTTCAAAAGCCCATGCCAGGGGAGTCTCTGGAGGAAGGAGTGGGAAGTTTCTTCTAGTTTTAGCTGACTCATAAAACAATTTCAAAATTCCGTATTGTTTCTTTGCAACTGAAATTCGCTCTACCGAATTCCTCAAATGAATGTAAGATTGGCTTATGACATCGTTCCATACTATCATAGGATTGTTATAGGAATAATCGAAAGGGTCCATGGACCTTAGAAGGGAAAGGAGTTCATGGTGGCCGAAAAGTTGCCCAGAAGTAGTTATTCACCTGTTTCGCTTGTAAGCCATGGCGAAAATTTAAGAAATCCGAGCTCCATAAATAACTTGCTTGTTCAGGCTGCTTCTTCTCCATTCTGGGACGGTCCACCATTGCAGACAGCTAATAAGGCTCCATCCAATCCATCTAAGAAATCTTCGGCAGAAAAAGTATCTAATACGAAGTCCTCCGCTTCTAAAAGCGGCACTAATGCTTTGGCAAATGAAAAGGTTAGTTGCAATGAATATTTCGACCCGATGTCTTACTGCTGCTCAGGAACCAGAGCGTTTTATTATTAACACATTGACGACATCACGACACGCATGCGCTGCAAATATTCACGCGAATGGCTCATTTTTTCTGATTGGTGAGGTATTTTCTGTTCATTCATCAGAAACTTTTCTGTAAAAATCATCGCGTCCAGAGAATTTACTTCTATTAGCACTAACGATTTGAAGGGGTAATTCTCATTTCAAAGGAATTTTGAAAAACGGTGCTGAGAAACGTTCTTAAAGCCGATGTCCGATCATCGAGCAGCTTTATGCTGGCAAAGAGAAAGGCGGCGGGTTAGGATAACCATAGCATACCACGAAGACGACAAGGTGCTGCGTCCGCGGAGCAAAGGCCGTCAAAAACGGCAGTGATATAAGAGACGAAAGTTGTCCTACAAACCCGCACGTAATCGAAGAACGGACACACGTATCGGCCGTGTTCAGTACCGATACCGGTATAGTCGCTCAATTTCCATCCTATAAAGTGTTAATGGTCATCGAAGGTCTCTGTAAAGCAGTGCATGTAATATTTCAAGAAATTCTAAGTGTTTCCAGCCCTCAAATGTCACATAATGCAAGGTTTCTTTTGTTTCAGGCTGCCAAACGAGCTCTGGGTATGGGTGAGGACAATAGTGTGTTCTTAGAATGGGTAGTGCAGCGATTGAAGGAGCTGAATTCGACTGTTGAAGCGGAAGTGCTCGCAATGTTCATCGAAGGTGTTGAGAATCCTGACGAGGTGTGCTTAATTTTGATTTCGGCCCGAGTCTTTTTCTTATTTGTTGCTGTTTTCCTTTGTGTTTGATATGGTAAACTTAACGCATTTAGGTGGAAGACTACGTTATGGGATACCTGGGAGATTCGAAGGCTGTTAAGGAATTTGTTAGAGAATTTCTACTGAAACGAAGTGATTTCCGTAATCGTAAACAACACGGTGTAAAAAATGTGAGTAGATTTGTTGTTTACATTATGTTTACCTCATGTGATATGTGTACGTTTAGGATCTCTCAAGTGCTCGTGGAGCTCCAGTGTCGGGTAATGGAGCAGGTTTTTCGGCGGTACAGGGGAAAAAGAAGAAAAATAAGGTATTGTGACTTGATTCGTTTGTTAACTGCTGTTTTAATGTAGCAGCTCGCACTGCAAATGTTTCACAAGAAATGAACAAAACTTTCGCCCTGGGCTGGTCTGGGCGAAGGTTTTGTTCATATTCCAAGATTCTTTTGAAATATGGTATTGTATTCCACTGCTTGATTGGGACTTAAATTCTTTCACACAATTCCTAGAGTTTTAGGGCGCTCGGCTCGTTGTTGATGGCTCATGTTTGGGTTTCCGTGCGACCTCAGATCCAAATCGGGTCAACCAAGGAGAAATTGAGACTGTAACAATTGCATCTGGACAGAAGAGATAGACGTAATGTTTCTGAGTTTCAGTCATAGTTTTGTTCTCGTTCATAGATTACTTTACTACTATCGGTTATTAAGCTCGTAGTACTCGTAGTTGTTTCTCAAAAGAAATCATTTCCTTCGCTGAAGTTCTTTCCTGTACCAAGATTTTCGCATTATTAATTGGCCTGACATAGTAAATGCCAAATGGTTGTTTAATTTATGCCTCTGCCGGTGAATCTACAATGTTAGATTTCATCGCGCAGAGGTTTTGATCACATTTGGCGCTACTATGCTAATATGTTATTGCTTTTCCTTTCAGTTCGCTTTTAATTTTCTCTGGGGTTATCACAACTTTTTGGCGTGTACATTGTCGAACTCTGTTGTTTCCGAATGTTTAACTTTTTGAAGACGAGTTTCGTGTTGTATTTTGCTCATATTCGTCATCGTTTGCTGTCCTTTTCTTCAAATGTTACCAGATATTTTTATACATATATGCATGGTTTTCGTTCATTCATTTGTTCGTTCCTAGTAGCCTTACCTACTCGGTGTTTCAGTGGGTGTTTTACGCAGCACTACCACAGAATTGTTATTAGAGCTAGTCGATACTGTTCTTCCTCTCGTCTGAATTGCTCTTTTTATCGTTTCTGTTACTCGACTGCGTAAGCTCGTGACAAATCTATTGAAGAAAAGATGCCCTTTCTGTATATGCGGATACATATAAGTTATTAACTGGTAACTTGGTGATGTTAGGAGGCTTTATGGACCGTGTAGCGCACTAATGACGTTTCCCGACTCCTCAAGAGACCCCGTTATTGCAGATTGGTCTACTGAATTCTTGCATCGGCTGTTAACTTCAGTGAAGAGATTTGTGTGAACGTTATACCATAAATCGTATTATTATTATTACAACTGTTATTTTATTACAGGCAATCCATTTTCAATCACTTGTAGGTCAAAGGGCAAAACATATGTTAAATAAATACAAAAATCCATAGGTGACCGGAAAGGGGAGTGGATAGCTGACTGTGCATAGAACGGTAGTCATCGCCAATGGTACAAGCTCGTAGATTAGGATTAAGAATCCCGCGGCATCAGGTCCGGCAACAGCAGAATTCCAGATTCCAATGAGTTGGTTTGAGGAAAAAACGGTTCATCAGCTAAACGCGGGAAAGAAAATGGAATATTGAGAACAAGAATTCTTTTAACATTACTTGAATAAGGCCTAGCCAGCCTCATTAGGTTCAGTTTTGATATCATGTCTTGGCTGTACCAGTATTCCTTCTTAGTTCAACAGATGAATGCGTCAGACGTACATCGGTCATACCCTTTTCGGGACGCGCTGCGTATTCTATTAGGTCGGTCCATAATTTTTGAGAACCTTTGGTGTGTTTTCGATTAATTACTTATCTTATTTCTCTGATGTATTTATTCAGCATAGTATACATCACCATTATTACCAACATATCGCCAATGCGAGGGTGGGTATTCAGTGTCTCTCTTGTAGAATTCCATAGAGTTCTGATCGAAGAAAATTGGATGTCGATTTTGACTTTATGGTGATTCAAGTGAGATTTCTTCTCCAGAAAGAGGAGAGCGGATAGTCGTTCGTTGACGCAGGATTAGTGCTACAAGGCGGAGCTAAAAGAACTGACCGCCCGAGAGTCTCCAATTTTTTATGAATTTTCTTAGCAAGGTGGCTCGAACGACCTCAAAAAAAAGATTTTGTCTTACTTTGCTTTCAAGTTGAAGGCGTTGCCATCAAGCTGTCAACGATTATCTTCATCACTGACACTGGTATTAGTTGGTGCCGGTTTTCAGCGCAAAGCCCCTCTCGTATTCCGCCAACGACTCAGGAAGTTCAGAATTCAGAGGGAGTTGGGTTTTTGCTGTCAGAACTCCCGAATCGTTTAAGCTAAGCTACTGCGGCTTGTGGATTTGTTAGCACACTGCACCCAGTCCACATCACCATGAGTATAGATGGTCATTCGAAGGAACTATGGGAAACCAATAGGAACATGATGATGTCAGATCGGGTTTAGAGCTGATTCGGGCTCAGAGCATGTGAGAGACAAATTCCATATTTTCAAACCTTAGCGACTTTATCGACTTGTCTCAGTACTCTGCCAAAAGCGCTCTGACAAATAGCGCTCACTTTGTTCAGATTCCTTTTCAATGGCGCCGGATAGAGCATCGAGATTGCCAGTCACGGGGTGGTTGGAGTGTGGATAAAAGAGGGAACCCTGAGTAGAGGTAACCACCCGTGCACCGTGGATTGAGAGAGCGTGCCCTCAGCTATCTTCTGGTAATCCTCCATATAGCTTGGCGCGTGGAAGATCCTAATCTGAAGTCATGAAGAAAGAGGCTCAGAAGTAGGTTTCAAAGAAATTGGAATCCTAGCTAAAGAAAGTAACAAGCAAACGAGATGGCTAGCCTGTCGGATAGGCGAGCTTGTGTGCTAGGTTGCAGGACATCTTGGAAAGCTTCAATACTTATCAAAAGATTTTACAACAATACATGTAAAGTGTCTCAAAAATTATGGACCGACCTAATACTTTATGGGGACCGTGGTGGTGTTAGAGTTTGGCTGGCCTTCACAGAGAGTTGACGAGCCAGGCTTTCAATCTCACCACATGGTCCGGTATAATCAGTTGCGACCCCAGCGTTATGCGCTGGGGCAAAATTCGAAGCGAGATTTGAAACCCGACCTCCTTTTCATGCT